ACCACTCTTAAACCAGCCTGGTCTACCAGCTAAAACCAGCCAACCAGCCTAGGCTGGTTTAAGCAGTTTATTTCAGTAGGGATGTCAAACATCGAATAAAAAAATCACGTTTTATAGCTCTTCACAGCACCTTTAAGGCTCAGTTTTACAAATGAGGCTTTGCTTATTAAATTAGTGTATTTAGGCTTGTTTTATTAGAAGGCCTTTGAATGAATCTTGCCAGCCATTTCTGTAGTGTTTTCCAGCATGTTGGTGATGTTGATGCTTTGTCCTTGTGTCCGTCAGGTGGCTACACTCGTCTGCAGGGCGGCCGCTGGAGTGACAGTCGGGCTCTGAGTTGTGTGGAACGCTTTGATTCATTCAGTCAGTATTGGACCACAGTGTCCTCCCTGCACCAGGCCCGCAGTGGACTCGGGGTGGCAGTACTGGAGGGCATGATATATGTCATCGGGGGTAAGTGTGTGCATTTCTTCATTTCAATAATACAAACCATGCTAAAATGGCTGCAACCCCTGAAACACATACTGAGGGGGAAATACGTGTTTAACACTGAAGTGGAAAACATCATGTTTATTCCGGGGAATAATATTTGTAAAGGAGCTGTTGACATGGAATTGAACCAGTAAAAACCCATATTCATTGTGTCAAAATCTTGATGGTTCTGTGAGTCTCGTCTATCAAATCTGAGCTTTATTCTGTATTCTCTATTGGATTCGAGTCAGGTGATTGGCTGGGCCATTCTACAGCTTGATTTTATTTCTCTGAAAGCATTAGAGAGTTTCCTTGGCTGTGTTTTGGATCATTGTCTTGCTGAAATGTCCACCCTGGTTTCATCTTCATCCTCCTGCTAATGTAGATGTTGGACTGAAGCAGCTGATGTTCATTTACACTGAGGAAGGGAAGAGGCTTGCTGAAAAACTACTGAGAGATTTTGGCTGCTGTCTGGGCTTTGTACACCTCTCTTTCTTCATGTGTTCAATACTGTTTCCCTGCATCATTTAATTTTATTACACAGAACTTAATTTGCAAACTAATTAGATTTGTTTTCTTTGCATATCTGAATTTCTTTGATTGTTACCAACATCCTGGGAAAATTTTGAAGTCAACGGCACCTTTGGAAATGTGTTTTCTGAGGAAAATGGTGACGTGTTTAATACTTATTTGTCCCACATTAACCATTGGACAGAAGCCATTTTCTTTAAGTGAAATAAGAAACTAATTACACAATAAACGAAAAGTAATACTAAACGAATCAGTCACTGAAATACAATAATGATTAGCATACTTATGATATAATTAAGGTGAACGTTTTCTGTTAAATCACAATTACGAAAACTGAAACTAAATACATGTAATCTAAATAGAAATGTGAATCACAAACTAAAAAAAATAACTAAAATTAAATGAAACCATTAATGAAATGAACTAAAACTATTTAAATGTACAGAAAAAAAAGTATTGAAATAATAAAACTCATTTTAAAATTATAAAATAATATAAAAATTATAATAACTTTGACATATATTGTAAGCTTCAGCTTCTTTGAAAGAAGACTGCATTGTGTAAAGCACTGCAGAAATAAAGGTGACATGCAGTTAAAGTCAGAATTATTCGCCCTCCTTAGTTTCTTTATCAAATATTTCCCAAATGATGTTTAACAGAGCAAGGAAATTTTCACAGTATTTCCTATAATATTTTTTCTTCTGGAGAAAGTCTTATTTGATTTATTTTGACTAGAATAAAAGCAGTTCTTAATTATTTGAAACTCATTTTAAAGTCAATATTATTAGCCCCTTTTTGCTTTGGATTGTCTCCAGAACAGACCACTATTATACAATGACCTGCCTAATTACTCTAACCTGCCTAATTAACCTAGTTAAGCCTTTAAATGTCTCTTCTAGTTAATAATTCTAACTTCAACTGTACATTTGTCTTGTTTTGCGCAGGAGAAAAAGACTCCATGATCTTCGACTGCACGGAGCGCTATGATCCAGTGACCAAGCAGTGGGCCGCAGTGGCGTCTCTGAACTTTCCCCGCTGTGGAGTTGGAGTTTGTTCCTGTCATGGAGCTCTTTATGCACTTGGTACGCAAATTTAAATGCTTTCCAGAAGAATAGCGTCACTTCCACTGTTAAATGAGCTGTATGTACGTTTTAGACTCTTCTAATATGTAGAAATATCAAACTTAATTCTAATTTCATGGGACCCTTGAAGTAAAGCGAGGACAACAAAACAATCCTCACTGCAAGACTCCATTTTGAATCATTTTGAGGTTGTTGGTGTTTTTTATTTAGCATTTTTATGACCTTACAGATATGTTCAAATGTAGTATATTATGTATATGGTGTTGGAGAAAATGAATTTATTTTTATTACTTTTGGGGTTTTATAATTATAAGAAAAATGCTTAGACTAACAACAGATTAATCAATCTTTTCTATTGTATTATAACGCATCTTGACCAGACACACTTCCTCTTTTTTACTGTGCTGCATACTTTTTAAAGGAACATGCTGACAAGTGGAAAAATCAGAATAAGAATAAGCGTGGGGGCCTTTGTTTAATACAAGTTGTCATGATGCTTGTAGAAATTGTGAATATATTAAAGATGCACGGAATTGTTCAGTTCTGGTATGCAGAGAAGGGTTGGAGAAAGAGGAAGTATGTCTGGGGGTTACAAGAGCCAAAGGACTGCAAAATGACTGATCAGTGACGTTACACCAAAACTCCACCTGTTAATATCAGTTGTGTATATATGCTGGTGTCAGGAAATGTAAGTTAGTGGCGAACCACTTGAATGTTATTCTTGTATTGCATTGGGGTAACGTAACCCAGAGCTCTGTCATCAAATTATTCATTTAAGAAAACGCTTTGCAGACCTTTTCTTATTGAACACACATGGAATTGACTTGATATTCCAACAATGGCCATAAATGAACAGGTGTGTGTGTGTGTGTGTGTGTGTGTGTGTGTGTGTGTGTGTATATATATATATACGCTTTACATTTACTTTTTAGATCACCAGCCACAGTGGCTAGTAGTTTTCCAACGTTACTAGCCACTCTGCATTTTCACTAGCCACAATTTTGTTGTTGGGAAAATATTTTTATTATGCATAAATATGATTTTGACATGCTAAAATTACTAAATTTACATTTTGAGTTATGTCTACATGCCTTCTCATTTATTTCACATGTTGTGTGTCGTGTATGAGCAAATGGGTCATGGTTTCATAGTGTTATACTGCATGACTTTTCAGAACTCAAAATTAAGGATTTACCTAATTTCTGACCACTCCAAACAATAATTATTTATTTTCCACAAATTTTAAATGTGTCAAACAAGCTAAATATAGCTGTATACTATACTTTTTATTTAACAAAACGTTTCTTTTAAAAAAAACAAAGAAAAACAATTGACTTTAAAAAATAATTATTGTCGTGTATCAAAAATATGCACAGAATCTGTCCTCGCTAAAGATCTCTCAGATCACCGGTTAACTACACATAAATGGAGAGTTGATCTCATATTAAAGCAAATGTTGCTGTAAAAAATTGTAATTAAACCATATAAACAAAAATTACCGTAAGCAAAAGAAAGCAGGTGAAAAACATACTGTGTCAATTAATAATCTGTTAAAAGCGAAAGCAACCGGTGCTGCTTACAAAAAGACATATTTGGAGCTTTTTTTGTTTTGTTTTGTTTGTTAGTCGTGCTGTTTCTCCATTCTAAGATCACATTTGCACGCATATTGGGTCATTCTTATAGTCGAACCCTGCTTTTAAGAAAACCACAATTTAAAAATTATTTTCAACCAGCCAAAGTGGCTAGTGCGAGTGACCGTCTAACCCGCCAAAGCTGAAATCTACCCGCATTAGGCGGGTTCGCGGGTGTTAATGTAAAGCCCTGTATGTATATATATATATATATATATATATATATATATATATATATATAAATAAATAAAAGCTAATATATCTGAACATATATTTCAAATGTTTCCAATGCCATATTAGCAATATCAACAAATTTATGCTGCATGTATACCATATATTTTTTTATACATGTGAGATCCAAATATAAACTTGTATGTAATTTGCATATATTTACATATATCAGGTATAATTGACATATATTGTTCATTAGATACTTTTTTAATCCATATAGTGCGTCACTTTGGATAACACTGTCTGGCTATTGTATGCATGTAAATGTTTATGGTTTCAGGTGGCTGGATTGGTTCAGAAATTGGGAAGACCATGGAACGATACGACCCAGAAGAGAATAAATGGGAGGTGATAGGGAGCATGGCTGTTCCTCGATACTATTTTGGCTGCTGCGAGCTGCAAGGTACGTCCTCACGCAAAACAGAGACAGAAAAGCTCACTTAATTTGGTCGTATCATTTCTGAAAACAAAACAACTTATTCTGCCTGTGTAGTCAATGCTTCTTGATTTAAGAGTTGTGACATATTTGGACTAGAAACAAGACAATTCTTTTTTATTTATTTATTTTTTAAGATTTATTTTTGGCCTGTTTGCCTTTTTTTGTTAGATATGACACTATTTAGACAGGAAGCGAAGTTGGAGAGAGAGAGAGGGGGTAGGGTAGGAAAATGTCCTTGAGCCGGGATTCGATCTCGGGTCGCCCTGATGTGCTACTGCACCATATGTCGACGCGCTAACCACTAGGCTATTGCGCTGACGAAACAAGACATGATGCGTTTAACAGTGATCAGCATCTTAAACTGATGTATGAAGGTTTATATGTATTTATGTGTGTATTATATCATCTTTGCATTAAATGACAAAAAAAGCAGAGTTACTGCTAATGCGAGGTGTTTGCAATGCACTGTCTATGAAGCAGGACAGTAAATTTTACTTAACGCCCCATTCACACAGGGCTTCAGCGTCAACGCTTGACTGAAGGCGTGTCTGAAGTTGGGGCTGAAGCGATCGTCATAGCAGCGTCAGCCAATGAAATTCAGTCAGCAGTAGGCCACTGTCTAGCTGGTGTATTTGCATACAGCGATCTGATTGGCTGACGCTTCTGTCGGCGCTTGAAAAGTTGAGCTAGTCCCAACTTCTGCAGCGAGCAACGCCTCTGACGGATTCACAATGCAGTTCGGCAATGCCTGACGCCACCCATTCAAAGTGAATGGAAAGCGTTGTCGCTAACGCCCCGTGTGAATGGGGCGTGTTTCTCTCTTCTGGCTGCCGTTATCAATCTCACACTATTTTTGTCCTTTCTCTAAGGCCCCGTTTACACTAATGCGTTTTAGTTTGAAAACGCATAAGTTTTGCCACAGTTATGCCATTCGTCCACACTACGCCGGAGTTTTTAAGCACCGAAAACGTAGCGTTTTGGAAACGCTGGAGAGGCTGTTTTCATTGTGAAACGCTGCTGCTCCATCTCAGTGTGGATGAGGGAAAACAGAGGCGGGGCTACTGAGATTCGCTACCTGATTGGGGCTTTTGTGTCATTGCGTATCCTTGCCTTATTCGTCAAGCCCCTATCACATGACTATTACACATGCCTTTAACGCTACTGGAAGACAACAGACCAGCCTTCACTGTGAACAACAACATGGGCACAGAAATGGGAGCGTTGTTTGCACTATTGTCTGTTTTAGGCGCCATTGTGCAGTTATTCACTTGTTACGTTTAGTAACAACTCGACCTCGTCGTCTGTCCACAAAAATACCTCTCTTGCTTTCTTTGCCATCGCGTTCATTGTTCAACCGGCGTTTGTTGACTAACAATCACCAAATGCCGAGCGAGACGCATGCTTCCTGTTTATACTAGAACGCGTATGCCCAGAGTGCGCCAATGGTCACATGATATACGTTTTTGGTGGCGTAATTTGGACGGAGATATGTTCAGAAACGCTACGTGAAACGCTAGTGTGGACGCGGATCGTTTAAAACTAAAACGCACTAGTGTAAACGGGGCCTAAAAGTCTTGATAACACCATCATAGAGTTTTTCTTTTATTAATTCAGCAAATGGTGTTTTGTAAACAAAGCAAATTGTAAACAAAGTGATTTGTTGTACTCTATCTCTTACCCAACTATGATGACTACTGAGAAACCCGTAAATGTGGAAAGGGTTCAGGAGCTGCAACAGATTCCAGTGTTTTTTTTCAGTGTGCTGTCTGAATGTCTCCAGGCTTCATCTATGTGATTGGTGGCATCAGTGATGAGGGAACGGAGCTGCGCTCGGCTGAAGTTTACGACCCAATCTCTCGGCGGTGGAGCGCGCTGCCTGTCATGGTGACCCGGCGGGCGTATGTGGGCGTGGCCAGTCTCAATAACTGCATCTACGCTGTCGGAGGCTGGAACGAGGCTCTGGGGTCACTGGACACCGTGGAGAAATACTGCCTTGAGGAGGTAAACACTGTAAATCCTGACATTATCGTTTTTTAAAACATAAACTTGCTCATGTTTTGAATTTAGCTTTGATTTAAAGGAGTAGTTCAATAAAGGGATTTCTTGACAATGTTCTCACCTAGTTGTTATCCAAGATGTTACTATTTTCTTTTCTTTTTTTTAGTCAAAAAGATTTTGACGACGATTTCTATAATATAAAAACGCAGGAGTGTATTGTTAAACACAAAGGAAATCAAAACTAACCATATTGGCTTTGTTAGCTCGCATTGCTAGCTTTGTGGTGAACAACTCATCTGCGCATGTCATTAAGAACAAAACAATAGTTTGCCCTTGTAATCTTTAATTGAAATCTGAAAATGCACTTCCTGTTTGTTTTCAGTTTAATTCTCAGATTAAATCTGTCTGAGGTATTGGGCGTGGCTAACATACTCAACCACGCCCCTCCAGCTGTCAGTCAACAAACAGAAATGGTGAGGGGGAGGAGTCTGTTAGGCTGTAATAACTCTCCCCAAACCCTTTTCCCCATCTTTCTGAATGAAACGCCTACTTTACTACATCCAATCAGCTCGCAGCAGAAAAAACAAGCCACGCCTACTAGTTCTGTTTCTCTAGTAACTGCGTCACAATATGGGGAAAAAACGGTCGCAGCTTCTGGTTCATGCAGACTTTAATGTTTATATTATTATATTTATTGTATTAGCGACAGAATAATTGATGTGCTTTACTTTAATGTGGTTTAAAATCATTATAGTATTTGTAAATTATCGCAGTATTGTTTTGTGTGGGTTTAAACCATTGGTCACTATATGGTGAAAACTCCAGCATGTTTTCATTAAACACCTTTATTTTCGACTGAATAAACAGAAATTAACATCTTGGATGACAACGGGGAGAGTAAATGTTCTGGAAATTTCAGTCATGGCCTTAATTTTTAATGTATGAGTGCCATAACGGTTTCAAAGTTTATTATTGTACCGCGAAATCAATCTACTGCAACTAGCGCTATTGCTGTGATGTTAATCTACCATAATAACCCCAGGGGTCGCAAATAAAATCTAATAACTGACAAAATATGATAATTCTAGTAGTTCAATAAAATATATTAGATTTTTAGAAATCACCAAGCGACCCCCTGCCCCCCCCCAACCCCACCCCACCCCTTAATTTTCTCACGACCCCCACTTTGAAAACCACTGCTGTAGACAATTGAAAAAAGTCTAAAGGCTTTACAAGGTTCAGTTCGGGTAATTGGGCGGGTCATTCTGTTCACAATCAAAAAAAATATTGTTTAAAGGGGCCTAAAAATATTGACCTTAAAATAAAATAAAAAAATTATTTAAAATTAAAAAAAAAATTGTAAAGTACTTTTATGCTAGCCAAAATAAAACAAATAACTCCAGAAGAAAAAATATATTAAATTAAATACTGTGAAAAAATCCTTGATCTGATAAACATTATTTGGAAATGAATTTACAGGAAGATGAATATTTTTTTACTTCAAGTGTATATACATATATATATGTATTTATTTAATGTAAAAAGGTTATGATAATAATAATAATATATAATAAAATAAATAAAGGATTCTCGTAGCTGGATAATATTCAAATTTAACTCCTCAAGGTGTTTAATCTGTTTTGAGGAGCTTTTCAAAAGATTTTTGACTTTAAACAAATCAGAAACATTGCTGTCTATTGATGAGAGAGCTCCAGGATTTCATCTAAAATATCTTAGTTTCTATTCCAAAGAAGAACGAAGAACGAGCGACGATTGAAATGACATGAGAGTGATAAAATTAAAAACAGTATGGCAAGAGAGCTCCAGGATTTCATCTAAAATATTTTAATATCTCTTCCCAGGACGATCGGTTATTGAAATAACATGAAAATGAACAATCAATACCAGAATATACATTTCTGCGTGAACTAACCCTTTAATGCTCTTGCAGGAGAAGTGGGTGGAGGTGGCGTCGATGTCGGTCCCTCGCGCTGGAGTAACGGTAGCGGCTGTCAACGGTTTGTTATATGCAGTTGGCGGTCGAACTACAAGCCGTGACTTTTCGGCACCCGTCACCGTAGACTCTGTGGAAATTTACGACCCCCATCTGGACACGTGGACGGAGATCGGTAACATGATCACCAGCCGATGTGATGGAGGCGTAGCTGTGCTCTAATTTACTCAACACCACCCTAGGAAATGTGTCTTAATTTATTATGGTTTTTAAAAAGTGTGAGGAATTAGTTGAGTTGAAGAGGCCTTGTTTGAGGATTGACTACCAGTGTGTATTTTTCTTTAAACCACTTGTGTGTTGTTTAAGATCACATGTTGTTAAAGCGGCAGTTCACCCAAAAATGAACATTTCCTCATTGTTTCTTCCGACTTGTGTGAATTTCTTTCTTCTGTTGAACACAAAACGGGAGAATGCTCTGACGAATGCTGGAAAAAAAGTAACGATTGACATCCATAGTAGGAACACAAACAAAACAACAACTATGGATGTCAAGTTCAAATGGATAAATTTTACGTGGAAAAATATGCAAATTACATATATGACATACAAGGTCACGTTTAAATTTTGAAATATTGCAAAAAGTATGGTTTCTGTCACCAGTGAACTTTCATAGTATTTTTATTGTACTAAAAAATGTTCGTGTATGTTTATATATATTTAAAAAATGACTTCCAACATATATTTTTTTCAACCATTGAAATATGTACATATATGTTAAATTATATATATATATATATGTATGTATGTATGTATGTATATGTGTGAATATGTTTGTATATCTATATGTTTATATGTGTGTATATGTATGTATGTGGGTATATGAATGTGTAAATCTATGTATGTATGTACATGTGTGTGTATGTGTATGTATATGTGTGTATGTATATATAAATATATATATATATATATATATATATATATATATGTACATATATACATACACACACACACACACACACACATATACACGCATACATACACATACCTATACACACATACATACATGCACACACACACATATATACATACATGTGTGCGCGTGCGTGTATGTATGTATGTACATAAAGTATGTATGTATGTATGTATATATATATCTATATATGTGTGTGTGTGTGTGTGTGTGTGTGTTATGGATATATGTATATAGATGTGTGTGTATACATGCAATGGTATATATATATATGTGTGTGTATGTATGTATGTATATATGCGTGTGTGTATATGTATGTATGTATGTACAAATACATACAAATAAATATATATATGTGTGTGTATATATGTGTGTTATTTATATATGTATTTAGATGTGTGTGTATATATGCATGTATGTATGTGTGTGTGTGTGTGTGTATATATATATATATATATATATATATATATATATATATATATATAGGTAAGTATGTATGTATGTATATGTGTATACTGTATGTGTGCGAATATGTGTTTATGTGTATTTTCTAATATGGCCATACACCTATTTCTAATGGTTGGATTGAATATATATGTAAGCCACCATTTTTGCATAAACTACATATGTTAAATCCAAATATAAACTTTTATCTAAGTTTTGTAATTTGCATATATTTACATATATCACATTTCTATGTAGGATGGCGGTCTTCAGTTGCAACATTCTTCAGAACATCTTCTTTTGTGTTCAACAGAAGAAAGAAACTCATAAAAGTTTACAGCCACTTACAGTACATACATGATGAGGAGGTTTTCATTTTGGGTGAACTGCCCCTTTAAGACTTTAACCCTGGATCTAAAAGGCCACACGGTGCACTCGTACAGTCTCTGCCCTGTAATGTACGGTTATTCGTGGCCTCGTTTGCATCTCACTGTTGCTGATCCGCAGAATAACCAGCAGCTCACTTTCTGTTTCGTTCTGCTTCACCTTTGCCTCTCGTTTGGAAATTCTTTGTTACATTTAGCACTTTTGTATTTTACCTTTTTCATTTCTCACAATCTAGTTCAGCTCGTAATGAAAATACTGTCATCATGCTGTTCCAAATCCTTAAAGGGATAGTTAGTTTCTATTATTTTGTCACCCTTGTTCAAAACCCATTTGAGTCTCTTCCTTCAGTTGAACACAAAAGAAGATACTTTGAAGAATGTTGGTTGCTTGCACCAATTGACTTCCATAATACTTATTTTTCTATTCTGGAAGTCAATAGGTGCAGTCAGCATTCTTCAAAATATCTTCTTTTGTGTTCAACAGAAGAATGAAACTCATAAAGGTTTAGATGAGGGAGAATAAATGATCATTTTCGGGTGAACTATCCATTTAAGACTTTGGTTCACCTTCAGATCTATCTTGGAAGTATTGTTTGTATGAAATTTGAAAGATTTTCGTCCATCCATTTCGAGTGTTCACTCCTGATTCTTCAAGATGTTCATTAGGAGTTCCAAACTCTATAAATGTAGGCTTTTATTCACATGTAAATGATGTGAGAAACAATGAGGTTGGTTCTTGCATTTCACACCAGCATGTTTGAGCAAAATCCAACGAGGTTTGATGTGCGTTAAAGGGATTGTTCACAAACAAATTGAAAATTCACATCTAATGTCCTCGCCCTCAGGTTATTTAAGATGTAGGTAACCTTTTTTGTTCTTCGGTAGACCTGTAAAGAAGATTTTAAACTGAATCCGTGCTTTAAGTCGTATAATGCAAGTCAATGGTTACCCGTTTTTGAGATTAAAAATAAACACGTAAAAACGAGTCCAAATCAATCCTCGTGGCTTCTGATGACACACCGAGCTCTTATGAAGCCAAACAAATGGAGATGAACATTGATTACAGTATTATTAGCGTTCATTTTAGAAGGAAGTTCATGCAAACAACACTCATGTGTGCAAAGAACTGTAAAACTAATATTGTAAATAAAGTTCAATTTCCCACACAGACTGATCATTTGCCTTATTAAGAGCTCAGTGTGTATCATTAGTAACCATGTCTATTGATTTGGACTCATTTGAATGAGTTTATTTTTAATCTCAAAATGGGTAACCATTGACTTGGTTTATTAGAATCAGCAAGTGGTTATAAATGATAGTTCACCCACAAATTTTAAACTTACATCTAACGTACTCATCCTTAGGTTATTTAATATGTAGGTAACCTTATTTGTCCTTCAGTAGAACCGTAAAGACGATTTTAAGCTGAATCTGTGATCCATTGTATAATGCAAGTCAATGGTTACCCGTTTTTGAGATTAAAAATAAACACATATAAAGGAGTCTAAATCAATCCTCATGGTTCCTGAGTACACACTAAGCTCTTATGAAGCCAAACGAATGGAGATGAACATTATTTACAATTTTATTAGCTTTAGTTTTATAAGCTCAAGCAAAGTACACTCGTGTGTGTGTGTGTGTGCGCGGGCACAAAGAACTGTATTTATAATATTATTAGTTTTATAGTTCAATTTCCTACACAGACCGATCATTTGGCTTCATAAGAGCTCAGTGTATCATTATGAGCCATGGCTATTGATTTGGACTCGTTTGTGTGTGTTTATTTTTAATCTCAAAAACGGGTAACCATTGACTTGCTATATACGAATTAGCAAGCGGTTACAAATGATTGCTCACCCACAAATTGAAAATGTACCTCTAATGTACTCATCCTCAGGTTATTTAAGATGTAACCAACCTTTTTTGTCCTTCTGTAGAACCGTAAAGAAGATTTTGAGCTGAATCTGTGATCAATAATATAATGCAAGTCAATGGTTACCCGTTTTTGAGATTAAAATTGAACTCATACAAACGAGTCCCAATCAATCCTTGTGGCTTCTGATGACACACTGAGCTCTTATGAAGTCAGACAAATGGAGATGAACATTATTTACTGTATTATTAGCTCTAATTTTATAAGGAAGACCACGCAAACAACACTCGTGTGCGTAAAGAACTGTAAAACTAATAATATTGTAAATACAGTTAAATTTCCCACACAGACTGATCATTTGGCTTCATGAGGGCTCAGTGTATCATTATGAGCCATGGCTATTGATTTAGACTCGTTTGTATGAGTTTATTTTTAATCTCAAAAATGGGTAACCATTGACTTGCATTATATGAATCACCAAGCGGTTACTAATAATAGTTCACACAGAAATTGAAAACTTACATCTAATGTACTCATAATCAGGTTATTTAAGATGTAGGTAACCTTTTTTGTCCTTCTGTTGAACCGTAAAGAAGATTTTGAGCTGAATCCGTGATCTTTTGTGATTCGTATAATGCAAGTCAATGGTTACCCATTTTTGAGACTAAAAATAATCGCACACAAATAAGTCTAAATCAATCCTCGTGGCTTCTGATGACACACTAAGCTCTTATGAAGCCAAACAAACAAAGACTGAACACTATTTACAATTTTATCAGCTTTAATTTTAGTAGAAAGCTCATGCGAACAACACGTGTGTGTGTGTGTGTGTGTGTGTGTGTGTGTGTGTGTGTGTGTTTTTGTTTGAAGCAGTGAATAATAGATCACAATGTGCATTTCACCTGATAAATAATCAGACAGTAGCAGTAGTTTTATTACACTTGCACCACACATTTGTCAAAATAATAATAATAATAAAAAAAGCAAACATTTATTCCACACATTGTTCTGAGACACTGAATGCAAATGCTTGAGATGCTTTTTCAAGGAAGAGTTTAATATGCAGCGAGGAATGAATGGATTTAGGTTTGGAAGATTCCCTAAAAACCCCCACAAAGCCTTAAATCTAATGCTAAAATTAATAATAATAATAATATAAATAAAGTTGGCTTGTAAAAAGGAGAGGTTATTAGTTATTTTAAGCGCTGGGCAAATATTAATCATGATTAAATGCATCCAATGTAAATGTTTAGTCTGACAGCATATATGCGTGTACTTTTAGCTCAGCTTTTAGCTTAGCTTAGCATAGATCATTGAAACAGATTAGACCATTAGCATATGGATTTGTATTCAGTGACGCTTATTCAAAGTTCCTGGGTGAAGCTGCGTTATTTAGCGGTTGTTATCCTGGAATGACACGTCTTGGAATGTCCAATCAGAATACAGTAATCCCTGTAATAATTTGTGTATGCGTCATATTTATTAAGTATATGCAATACACACGTGCGTTTTATATATATTTATAATGTACATGTAATAAAAACACACCTATACATAGATGTCTGCTAAATGCATAGATGTTTTGTATATATGATCAGTCTCGCATATGCATTTTGTTTGCAGCTGGAAGGGCATCCGCTGCGTAAAACATATGCTGGATAAGTTGGCGGTTCATTCCGCTGTGGCGATGAAATGAATGAATGAATTTTATGTCTAAATATAAACATTTTCTCCATTATATGCACGGACAATTATTATATCAAGACAAACTTTGATTTTGGATGCGATTATTCGTCATTAATCTTAGCACAGCGCTAGTTATTATACAACACAAACTGTACACAAGATCGTCATACGTTTCTAGAACAGCTGGTGTCTGGATATTTGGTTAAAATCGTGGCTTTTTGATGAGCATAATCGAAAATAACATCGTTTTCACACTAGATAACATGAATAACATGTTAACTGTGACTAATTTTTGCTCATGATATGGGAAAATGACTATTTTGTGTGTGTGAATCACAACATTTATACCTGCTAATTAGCATAGAGATCTCAAATCGACAGGAAAACTAATATTTTGTATTGTTTTAAAATGATACTGAATTACTTTATGCTCGTTTAATTTGAAGATGAACATTAAAACTGCTGAAAATCTGTATTGTAAGACTAAAAGTGTCCCGTGTGGCTGTGTTTAAAAGCTGCCTTACGCTAAAAACAAGAGCCCTGTTTAGGCTTCAAACTCATGTTAACGCTGGTGAACGTCATTTTGTAAATAAACACACAATATCTCCTTTAAATATGAGGAATAGGGATGTTATGTGCACAGTTGAAGTCAGAATCATTCGCCCTCCTGTGATTAAATCATATATTTCTCTAATGATGTTTAACAGAGCAATGAAATTTTTCACAGTATTTCCTATAATGTTTTTTCTTCTGGAGAAAGTCTTATTAGTTTTATTTCGGCTAGATTAAAAGCCGTTGTTTATTTATTTAAAACTATTTTAAGGTCAATATTTTTAGCCCCCTTAAGCAATATTAGTTTCGATTGTCTGCAGAATGACCTGCCCAATGACCCGACCTTAACTTTGTTAAGCCTTTAAATGTCACTTTAAGCTGAATACTAGTAAAAATATTATTTACTGTCATTATGGCAAAGATAAAAGATTATTCGCCCTCCTGGGAATTTTTCAAATGTATTAGTTTAGCAGATTCAGGAATTTTTCACAGTATTTCCTATAATGTTTTTTCTTCTGGAGAAAGTCTTATTTGTTTTATTTCGGCTAGAGTAAAAGCAGTTTTTATTCATTTATTTATTCAAAACCGTTTTATATTCAATATTATTATTCCCGTTAAGCAATATTTATTTTGTATTATCTACAAAACAAACCACTCTTTTACAATGGCTTACCCAGTGACCCGAACTTAACCCTGTTAAACCTTTAAATGTCACTTTAAGCTGAATACTAGTAAAAATATTATTTACTGTCATCATGGCAAAGATAAAAGAAATCAGCTATTAGTAATGAGTTAATAAAACTATTATGTTTACAAATGTGTTGAAATAAAATCTTTCCGTTAAACAGATATCGGGGGACAAAATATTTAGCAGGGCTAATAATAAAACTTCAACTGTATGTGAGGCATGATTCTGTAATTCAAGACACCAGCAGACCAAACACAACCATTACCATCATGTTATTAACTTAAAAAGAGCAGTTCTATGAATGAAAGCAATGAGAAACGCATTAGTAAACATGCCAGTCAGATATAACAAATCCAGCATCTTCATTATAAAACAAAAGCCAAAGCTGAGGACTTTATCGAGTGTTTCTTGGTTAAATCGACAATGTTTTTTTTTTTGACCTTCAACTAAGGAATCAAGTAACAAACATACGTGGTGGGAAAACTACCCTCCGCATGGAATATATAATGTTATCCTGCACCTTTAGGTTGTGTGTGTGTGTGTGTGTGTGAGACATTCAGTGGTTGGAAAATAAAGTCTTTCCTGGGTGGAATGTTCAGATTTGCGATCGCTGGAAGTGAACGGAGAGAGGTTTCCGTGGTTAACTGGATTTGTTGACATCTCGGACCTTTTGGATCTCCTGTTGGAGAAAGAATACGAAGCTTTAAAGTTATTTAAATGAACAGGAAAAAACACACTTGAAAAAATCTTAATATTAATAGGCTCATTTTGCAAGTCCGCTAGCTGAATAGTTGAGTTTTACCAATTTTGAATCTATTCAGCTGATCTCCGAGTCTGGAAAGGGCTTAGCTTAGCATAGATCATTGAATCGGATTAGACCGTTAGCATCTATTAGTATTTGTATTTAGTGACGCTAGTGGTTATGCAAAGTTTCCGGATGACAATCTGGAATGACCTATCTTGGGATATCTCGACTGACCTATTAGAATCACATATTCTAGACAGCCGTGTAATCTTTATTTAGATATATATTATATTTATTATGTTTATATAATACACACATACATAAAAAAATCTAAACTATACAATTTATTTAGCAGTTGTTATCCTGGAAAGACATATCTTGGAATGTCTCGACTGACCAATCAGAATCAAGTATTCCAGACAGCCGTGTAATCTTTTGTGTATATACAAACCTTTTTTTTTAAATCATTTTTTAATCCATTCAGCTGATCTTAGGGTCTGGCAGGAGCACTGTTAGCTTAGCTTAGCATACATAATTGAATCGGATTAGACCGTCAGCATCTATTTGTATTTGTATTCAGACGCTCAAAATTATTCCAAGTTCCCAGATGAGCCTGCGTTATTTAGAGGTTGTTATCTTGGAATGACATGACTTGGAATGTCACGACTGACCAATCAGAATCAAGTATCCCAAACAGCCATGTGATAATTTGTGTAATACACACATACATAATAAACAAGACTATAAAGCTGATCTCCGAGTATGTCGGGAGCACTTTTAGCTTAGCTTAGCATAGATCATTAAATCGAATTAGACCATTAGCATCTATTAGTATATGGATTTGTATTTACTGGTTATTTGAAGATTCCGGATGAGCCAGTTATTTAGTGGTTGTTATCTAGGAATGTCTCAACTGACCAATCAGAATGGAGTATTCCTGACAGCAGCTGTCTTTTATGTGTGTATTGTATATATAAAGAGTCTGGAAGGAGTACTTTTAGGTTAGCTTAGCATAGATCATTAAATCGGATTAGACCAATAGCATCTGTTAGCATATGGATTTCTATTCGCTGACATCTTGGTGATTCGAAGTTACCGGAAGAGCTTGCATTATTAAGCCGGTGTTATCTGGAAATAACACCTTGGAATGTTGTGACTGACCAATCAGAATAATCCAGAGTAATAATTCCAGATAACAACCGCTGAAACTAATAACACTGACTCATTCGGATACTTCATATCATCTCTAATGAGTTAATTTAATTTGTTGACAGAGTTTCAAATTAATCTAATATAATTGTAGAAGAGAAACGCATGTCATACATTACCTCAAGAAGAACGTCTTTTAATTTTCCATACGCTGCTTCAAGATCATCATTGATAATGACCACATCAAATAAACCAGGCTCTTTACCTGAAATGCACACATAATAGGTCAGAATGTCAATACTGCAGTATTGATTTAAAATACTTCACGCAGGAATGGATACTTGCTTATTTCCACGTCAACTTTGGCAGCATGTAAACGTTTTTGTAGACTTTCCTCCGATTCAGTCTTTCTGTCCCGCAATCGCTTTTCCTGAAAACAAAACCATACAGGAGGCATGTATGATTGACACTGATTGGTAAAAAGTAGGCATGTAGAATTAACAATTAGTGCTAGGAAAATAAAAATAAAAATCACAGTTGGGTTCCTTGGGGTCCTACTGACCCCAAATATTTACAGATCAATTACATGGGGAAATATACATTTTTTATATAATTTATCATACATAAGTTTTCACAGTCCCTTCTCAACTTTGCATTTATGCAGTGTTTGTGTGGATATTTTGTAATTTTTTTTCAATTTACTACACAAACAGGCAACTAGGGCTGTGCAATTAATTGAAATTGAATCGCAATCGTGATTTGAAATGTTGCGATTAGGTAATCGCAAGAGGCTGCGATATGAAATATATATGCATTATATAATTTCTCCAGCGGCGCAGTGGTGCAGTAGGTAGTGTTTGTGTGCATGCAAGAGGTAGAGTTTTGGTTACAATTTTAATTTGTGCTCTAGAACTAGGCCTGTGTAAAATAGGTTTAAAATTTATAAAAAAAAAAAAAAAAAAAAAAAAAAAAAAAAATATATATATATATATATATATATATATATATATATATATATATATATATAAATATATTTATATATTTTTTTTTATTTTTTGTTATTTAATTTAAATGTGAAATAATTTTGACCCCAAAGAACCTAAACAGTATTTTTTTTTAAAAACCCAAATCAAGTGCAGTTTTTTGTGTTTTAATATTGTTTTTTTTTTGTAAAAGTTGGAGTTTCTTGCCCCTGAGATTAAAGGAACATATACATATTTACACACACCCACACACATATACACACACACAAAGTCAGAATTATTTACCCCCCTTTTAATTAAATTTTTTTTTTTTTATATCTTCCAAATTATGTTTAACAGGGCAAAGAAGTTTTCACAGTATGTCTGATAATATTTTTTCTTCTGGAGAAAGTCTTATTAGTTTTATTTCGGCCAGAATAAAATCAGTTTTTAATTTTTTAAAAGCCATTTTAAGGACAAAATTATTAGCCCTTTTAAGCTATATATATTTTTGATAGTCTACAGAACAAACCATCATTATACAATAACTTGCCTAATTACCCTAACCTGCCTAGTTAACCTAATTAACCTAGTTAAGCCTTTAAATGTCACTTTAAGCTGTATAGAGGTGCCTTGAAAAATATCTAGTCAAATATATGTACTGTTATCATGGCAAAGATAAAGATGAGTTATTAACACTATCATGTTAAGAAATGTACTGAACAAATCTCTCCGTTAAACAGAAATTGAGGAAAAATTAAACAGGGGGGCTAATAAATCTCACTTCAACTGTGTATATATATATATATATATATATATATACACACACATACACACACACAAAAACACACACATATATACATAAATACAAGTAGGAAACATCCATCAGGGCTGCGCTGACCCCATGAACCGATAAAGGGTTAAATAAGTGTAAGGCTGATATTTGTAAAACACAAATTTCATACCAGTATGTCCATTGACGGGGCCTGGACGGACACATAGATGGGGTTGAGATCGGTCTTCTTGATGTTCTTCACTCCCTGCATGTCAATGTCCAAAATGCAAATCAAATTTTGGGCCTGAACTGCCTGTACGGCTGCTTTACTGTGAACAGGGCACAATCTCGTTAGTCATAATGACATGCATATTTCTGAATAATGATAATTTAAAAACATCGTTCTGAAGACTTACCTCGTCCCGTACATGTTCCCTGAAAACTCTGCACTTTCAATGAATTCCCCTTTTGCTATGCTCGTCTGCATGACCTCCCTGCTAACAAAATGATAATCTGAAAAACAGCAATATTATTATATATATATGATTTTCAAAATTCCCAGAGACACATTGTAATTATCAGTTATATTTTTAATTTTTCCCAAATACTATATTTGAGTATGTACTTTAAAAAGAGAAACGGTACTTTTCATTTGGTCAATATATATATATAAACTATTAATTGATTGCATTTACAAAAAAGTACTATATTGTGACATATATCGTTATCATTACATGAAATTTGTTTTGATTGAACGTCTTAAAACGATATTCAAACTCAAACAAAAAATGCTCAGGGGTAACTTAAATATTAAATAACTTAAATATTATATATATATATACACATATATATTTTTTAAATTATATTTACACACACGTATATATCTTTTTCTTTTTTTCAAAATTTTTTAGGTGCCTTGGACTGATTTACTGATTACGCACCCTTCACTTGTTCTGAACATATTTGAGTTTCTGTCTTCTGATGAACAGAAAAGAAGATTTTCTGTTTATATATTTTGAGGATATTTAAAAAAAAAAAACCTGCAAACATGTAACCACTGACTTCCATAGTTTTTGTTTTTCCTACTACGGAGGTGAATGGCTACCGGCATTCAACATTTTTCTAAATATCTTCCTTTGAGTTCAACAAAAAAGGAAACTTAAAATTTTGGAACCACATAAAGGTAAAGGTAAATTTTGCCTTTAAGGAAGACTTTTATGCCCCTTTTTACAAGATGTAAAATAAGTCTCTGATGTCCCTAGAGCAGGGGTGGCCAAACTTTTTCGTATGAAGGACCAAAAACCAAATATCACGGCTGGGCTAAAGGCTAATCTACAAAACTATTTCCCATTAAATTTGCCATGGGTAATTTTCTAATTTATTTCATAATATTTAGAAATAAACAGAAAATATGACATTAAATTGTATTACCTAATGCAGTATGACTTTTAAAATGAGAGCTTTTGGCAACAAAAATCATTAAAAAAAAATTAAATTGTTTAAGTGGAGTTCAATGCTGAATATCCTAGTCAAGCAGAATCTGCCTTTGACTTGATTTGCTCACCAAAGTCTCTGGATTGTCGGGTGACAGTGTGTACATTTAAACAAAATCTGATTAATTTACATAATTTAATTGAAAGATTTAATTTCAGTTAGCTTTTAACAATAAAACAAACAAACAAACAAACAAAGGGTTACATTAAATTAGAATTGACAATCTCTAAACATCCCCATTATTCTCAGATGGGATAACAGGCCAAATCAAAGGTTCTACAGTTGGCCCGCGGGCCCTAGTTTGGGCATCTCTGCCCTGTTTAGGCTTTGATCCTAATTGTGGAGTGTTGGTGGCTGTTGCTTTAAATTCAAATGAGATTGGGCTCTTTACAAAAGAGGGCGGAGCTACAATTGCCTGTGTGTCAGCATAGCAGCAGAATTAAAAGCAAAACAAACGTCATATGCTAATGAGGGAGATACATCACTAGTGGGCGGGGCTCCTTCTTTGACGAAGTACAAAGAGAGAATGTCAATCAAAGTGTTTCTGCAGACTGTTTATATCAAGTCTGATAATAAAAATGAGAATAAATGAATGTTTACCATTAGAAGGTGGTTATATTCATACACTGCTGCCATACACCTGTGTTTAAACCCCTTAAAAAGTGATTTTTGCATGATAGGTCTCTTAAAAAAATAAAAAAACTGACCTTTGCCGTTCTCTTCTCCTGGACGTGGGTTTCGTGTTGTATCTGGTAAAAAAGAGAATTGTTGGTTACAATAAAACCCTCATTTCTTTTCAGCATTTGCACTTGTATTACAGACAGTGTGACTCACGAGAGACGCTGAATCCAAAAACACCGTTGAACTCCTTGAGCAGTTTCTTCAACAGAGTGCTTTTTCCAGCCCCGGACGGTCCACTCATCACCACAGGCCTCGGTCCAGCCATCGCTGACAACAGAGAAACAGGTTACATTAGGAAACATTTCACTTTTTCAACTCAGATTTCCGAAAACAGTAAGCTCATCTGTCACAGTGGTGTAAAGTCACAAAATACAAACACTCAAATTACTGTAACTGAGGGTTTTTCCTCATGAATTGTAATTCACTAAGTAGTTTTTAAACTGTGTACTTTTACTTTCCCTTGAGTACATTTATAGCTCTGTATCTGTACTTTTACTCCACTACTTTCCTTCAACCTGCAGTCACGACTTTATTTTGTTCTTGTCTATGGTGATTATAAAAATCAGTCCTGTGATTTCCATCCTTCGCACACAGACGGTAAATCACATCATAATGATCTACCTCAAGACATGGGCGATTTATAACAGCAGCAAACTGTTTGGAAGCATTAAAAGCAGGGCTTTACATTAACACCCGCCAACCCACCAAATGCAGGTAGATTTCGGCGTTGGTGGGTAAGACAGACACTCCCACTAGCCACTTTGGCTGGTTGAAAATAATTTCCCAGATAATTATTCTTAAAAGCAGGGTTCGACAATAAGGATGGTCCAATATGCATGCACAGGCGATCGAGAAGCAACACGACTGACAAAAATAATTGCGTTCGCAACTTCGCGCTAGCAAAGCAGGTGAATACCGGATGAGAGGATAATCACTCGCGCTAACAGCTGAGGTGATACGCGCGACTGTTTATAACGCGTGTACGCTCCCGTTTCCTTTTGTGAAGCAACTGTGTCTAGAAACACAACTGATGCGATCGATTGTTTTCCAAATATACTGAACAAAAAGGGAGGAGCATGCATCCACAGTCTTGCTGCTTTCAAGAGTTCCAGAGTTGACTTATTGTAAGCAGCGCCAGTTGCTTTTGGTTCAACCATGCGTGTGTGATCATCCTTTCATCATCACACAGTATGTTTTTTACCTGCTTTCCTTTGCATTAATATGGTTTAATTATCTTTTTTTTTTTTTTTTACAATAACATTGCTTTAATGGGAGAATAACTCCCTATTTACAGTATGTGTAGTTAACTGGTGATCTGGGACCTTTAGCCAGGACACATGACTGTGCATATGTTTTGTTAAATAAAAAGTATAGTATTCAGCTATATTTTGCATGTTTTCACACATTTAAAATGTGTGGCTAAGAAATAATTAACTGTTTATTTATGGTGTGGTCAGAGATAAACAGGGTAGATCCTTAATTTTGGGCTCTGAAAATTATGAAAACTAATTGTAATATATGAAAGCCTGACCCGTTTGCTCATGATTATTAAGCAAGCTCATACACGACACACAAAAAGTGAAATGAATGAGGAGGCATGTAGAGATAACGCAAACGCTAAATCAAGTCATTTTAGCATGTCAAAGTCATATTTATGTGTATAAAATATATTTTCCCAACAATAAAATTGTGGCTAGTGAAAATGGCGAGTGGCTAGTAATGTTGGAAAACTACTAGCCACATTGGCTGGTGGTCAAAAAAGTTAATGTCAAGCCCTGATTAAAAGTGTACAGCAAGAAGATGTCCAAAATCTTTACACGCATTGACCTTGAGACTGTTTAGATGCAGGTCACTGATGAGAAGACGGCGGATGTTTACTGAATGATGACCGAAATGGCAGCCAGCAGGCAAAAGACGTCAACATGACGCTAGAATGACGTTGTACCCCAATGTCGTGGGGACGTTGCATTTTGTTTGAAAATGAAAATTGGGTTGACGTCAGAACCCAACCTCAGGCCGACAACGTCAACGACCAAAGTGCAACCTAAAAGCAACCAAATATCAACATCTAATGATGTTACAGCTTGACGTTGTATGAACGTTACCACTATGACATCTATCAGACGTTTGATTTTGGTTGCCATACCCAACGAATAAATGTCAGCAATGGACATCAATAGGACATCGAACACAACCTAAAATCAATGTCATTATTAAGCATCAAAATAACGTTGCCATCAGGCGCTGGCTAGACATTGAATTTTGGTCACCTGACATCGCAACCTTAATCTAACCTAATATTAATGACTTATAACGCTGTGTGCCTGCTGGGCAATGACTAAATGCACTACAGAATGTTACGTTTACACACACACATCCACAAATGACATGTGTAATAGTACTTTTACTTACGTATGACTTTCCGCCACTGATCATTCAATATATACACACAGACTATATAATATATACAAAATAAATAAATACACAATCACGCACAGATATTACAGATGCATGCAGACATTTTTAGAAAAGTACAATGTAAAAATGTGTATGTACGTAATCAGAGTACTGTACCAAATTATTAAAAGTACATTGCAATTACATTTAGAGTCTAGCATTTAAAATACTTAAAGAAATGCTTTTTGTGTAATGTTTTTAATTTAACATCTGTACATACTCATCCATGTCACTTCAATACTGTACATTTCTACTATGCACTTCTGCAATTTAACTTGCAGTTGAATGTAAAATGTAAATAAAGACGTTGAAGTTACAGTTATTAAGGCCACTAAATACAAAGTGTGACCAATGAGACTAACCCCAACAATAACATCATTATTACTTAGCACTATTTAGTCTCACTATATGTAATAAAAATATGATATTTGCAGCTGATTTTGCTCTTCAGCTCTCTTTTTATTTTTAGTTTAGTGATATTTCATCTTGTCTCAACATGTTCCAACAAGCCCGGTAGCAAAACAGCTCGTTAGACCCTGCTAATGAGTTAGTCCACCGAGGATCCTTTAAACACTGCGATAGCGGAAAAATGAGTGTTCTGTCACTACAACCATTTAGTTGAGCACAGAAGCTAATCATCCAAAGACATGAGAGCAAATGGATAGATCAAACCAAAATATAAGGATGTGCAATATATCGAAGTCATCCAAATATTGTGAAATAAACACTAATAAACCAAATACATTTAAGCAAATCTATGTGTCTATATATATATATATATATATATATATATATATATATATATATATATATATATATATATATATATATATATATATATATACATATATACATACACACACACATTTGTTTACATTGTTAAAAAGGCCTGATTTTAGTTTTATACATCAGTTAAAAAATGGTCGTTAAGTGTGTGTGTGTGTGTGTGTGTGTGTGTGTGTGTGTGTGTGTGTGTGTGTGTGTATATATATATACACAATAAATATATACATAATACATAAGCAGAAAAAAACTAAACATAAATAAAAACAAATACAAAAATAAACAAAACTTTATATAAAACGATAAATAAATAAATATAAAAAGAAGTAAACATAAATAAATACAAAAAAAATGAAATATAAAATAATTAAATAAAATATAAAAAGTAGACAAATAAAAACAAAATTATGAGAATATAATAATAATAATAAATGGAAAAACTAATAAGTGCATTAAAGTTTAAAATAATAAAATATGAATGACAAATACTTTATATTAAATGAAAAATGAAATTAAATTAAAAATGCAACATTTCTGTTTCTATACATAAATAAATATGGACCTAAATACAGAAATAAAAGCAGCAAGAAAAATATATAACAATAAATATATACAAACTAATTAACTGAAATTTAGGATAAAATATGGATGACAAGTACATGTAGGAAAAATATAAATGAAGCAGAAAATAAATTAAGATAAAAACACATGACATGCATTATGGTATTTATCTATTTATCTTCATACAATCATTTATTTATTTAATTTTTATTCATTAAAAAAAAAAAAAAATATTTTGCAGGTTTTGTCCTTCCTACTCTTTTGGTATCAGCAGTGTTTTTAAAGCCACAAACAATATTTTAGTACATTAACACTAACAATACATTACATTAAAACACAATAACAATTTCATATATCAATTTACGTCACAATCCGAGCTCTCTGTATCTCTTACCTTGTTTGTCACTGTGGTCTGTGTGTGCAAATGAAAGCTAAAACACGCACAGTGCTCAATATGATCTGAATGTCTGTGTGTGTTTGCATTATGATAATATCCTCCTCCAATCAGCTCACTGGTAGGAAAACTCGTCAAACTGCCCAGCCTACTTTTCACAAGTGACTGCCACCATATCAAAACATTACAGCAGTCTGACTCAGCAAAGGAAAAATCATCTGCTCTGGGCTTACAATAACAAGACAAGAGCGCACAAATGTTCATCCATTACACTTTTTTCCATAATGATGCTCAACTACTTAAAATACAGAATAATGGGAAACATAGCAAATCCCTTATTTTAGCTTATACAGATTTTTATTCTTTGTTCTTCATCTGTGTAAAGCTGCTTTGCCATGATCTACACTGTAAAAGCGCTATAAAAACAGACAACGACTATAAAGGCTTATAGTAAACAATAAAATATATTATTACCAGAATTTATTACCAAAAATTAATCCAAGTGGTTACAATTGGATTAATAATTATATAATAACAGTATTATAAAACTAAGCTTTGGACAGCAAAATTACAAATGCTCAAAAAAAATGTCAAAAGATTAAAAGTTTCAATTTAACAAAAGAAAAGGTCCAGTACAGTCAACCAAAACACAACACCTTGTCCTATTATTTCACATTTGCATTGATAGCGGCCAATCACAGTTATGCATTATCATAATATTATGCATAATATTATGATTATGATGATTTTTGACAATATGTGCATTACTGCGAGGATTGTGTTTGGGGTTGACAATAATAAAATACTATTAATGGATAATTTAATAAATAATATGAATAAAACTCTTGTTATTACATTACTGTGATGGTTGAGTTTAGGGTTGGTGCAGGGAAAGACAATAATAAAATACTATTAATGGGTAATTTAATAAATAATATGAATAAAACTCTTGTTATTACATTACTGTGATGGTTGAGTTTAGGGTTGGTGCAGGGAAAGACAATAATAAAATACTATTAATGGGTAATTTAATAAATAATATGAATAAAACTCTTGTTATTACATTACTGTGATGGTTGAGTTTAGGGTTTGGGCAGAGATAGACGTTAATAAAATAAAATTAATGGGTAATTTAATAAATAATATAAATAAAACTGTTATAACCTTAACAGTGAAAGTTGGGTTTAGGGTTGAAGTAGGGGTAGACGTTAATAAAATACTATTAATGGGTAATTTAATAAATAATATGAATAAAACTCTTGTTATTACATTACTGTGATGGTTGAGTTTAGGGTTGGTGCAGGGAAAGACATTAATAAAATACTATTAATGGGTAATTTAATAAATAATATTAATAAAACTGGTGTTATTACATTACTGTGAAGGTTGGGTTTAGGGTTGAAGTAGTGGTAGACATTAATAAAATACTATTAATAGGTTATTTAATAAATAATATGAATAAAACTGTTGTTATTACATTGCTGTGATGGTTGGGTTTAGGGTTCGGGCAGGGATAGACTTTAATAAAATAAAATTAATGGATAATTTACCAAATAATATGAATAAAACGGGAGTTTAGGATAGGGTTAGACGTAAGTAAAATACAATTTAATGTGTAATTTAATTAATAATATAAATATTTCTTATTAATTTCCAGTTGTATCCCTTCTAGCAAAAACCTGAGTAAATGATGGCAGAATTGACATTTTTGGGTGAACTGTCCCTTTAAGTTGGAAATTCAATAAATAACAAACGCTTATATATTTGTTCAAATGGTCGAACAACAATTGGTTCAAAATGAAATTCGCTCTTGGGTTCAATATGCCTAAAATAAGTTGAAATAACGCAACTAAAATGACTGGACATGTGTGTCATAATTAAAGTTTTGCCTTCAATTTTTTTTTTGTGTGTTTTTTTGTTAGTTCAAACTACTTATTTAACAGCCCGTTTCCACTGACTGGTACAGTACGGTACGGGTCGGTACAAGTCACCTTTATCAGCCTTGCATTTCCACTGCCTAAACCTTTTGGTGGGAGTGGTGTAGCACTTCTCACAAAACAGATGCTTTATACAGATAAATACTTGTGTATAAATGTTCATTACTAACCTTTCCATGAACATGATTTGATTATAACAGCAGATCAATGACAGTGTGAAATAGGCTACTGTAACGTCTGCAGTTATATAAAATAAATAAATTAATGCAACATATATGAACACATACAGACCCTTACAGTTTCCCATATGTTACCAACTACAGAAAAAACTACACACAGCAAACATTTAGTCCTTATTTAGGTTAAAAAACACAACAGGGGAAACATATAGCGCACAGTCAGAGCAAAATGTGGTATGGTACGGTTTGCTTTTCGGTACCTTTTGACAGTGGAATCGGCCATAAAAGCATACCGGACTGAACACTACCACTTAGTAGAAACGGGCCATAAAATGAGCTAAAACAACACATTCACTGAAGGTTTTTTTGGGGACAACTCAATTGTTTTATGTTCAATCCACTTTAAATTTGTAAGAAGTATTAAGTTAACTTAATCCCTTCATGTTGCCTCAACACAAATCGATTGTGTGGAGCCCAGCATTCTTTACTTGTAGCTCTAATTCAGTGTCCTACACAACACTGCCTCAACCCATCCATTATATGTGGTCTGACCTGTCTAATTAAATAAATAAATGAGCTCCACGTGTGTGACATGAACATTTTAATGGAAGTCATATGGTGCGACCCCTGGACATGTGATTTGATTTAGTTGGTCCTCTAAACAGCCGTTTAAAGAAACAGTTCACCCATACATACAGAAATTAATTTACTCACTATTTACTCTTCCTCAAGTGGTTCCAAACTTCTACAAGTTTCTCTCTTGAGTTGAAAACAAAAGAAGATGCTTTTAATAAAAGCTGAAAACTGGTAACTTCCATAATAGGAAAAACAGATGCTATGCAAGTCAATGGTTACAGGTTTCTAACATTTTCCAAATGATCTTATTTTGTGTTCAACGGAAGAAAGAAACTTTTGAAACAAGTAAAGGGTGAGTAAATGATGACAGGACTTTAATGTTTGGGTTAACTGTCCCTTTAAATGAAAAAAGGTCACAAGACTAGTGGTTTCTTCTCAAAAATTGAATTGATAATTCCCCTGTTTTCCCACATGAAAAATACAATAGTTTTTTTTTACTATCTAAATTATTATTAATAGCATTAGTAAAGTATTAACAATAGTAAACTGCAATGAATACTGTGTTATTCTTCACTACAGTAACTGTGGTTTACTGTATAATACTGTACACTATAGTACAGGTGATTGGCTGGGCCATTCTACCGCTTGATTTTCTTTCTCCGAAAGCCTCTCAGAGTCTCCTTGGCTTTGTTTTGGATCATCGTCTTGCTGAAATGTCCACCCTGGTTTCATCTTCATCCTCCTGCTAATGTAGATGTTGGACTGAAGCAGCTGATATTCATTTACACCAGTGGTCATCAATCTCGGTCCTGGAGGGCCGGTGTCCATGCAGGATTTAGCTCCAACTTGCCTCAACACACCTGCCTGGATGTTTCAAGTATACCAAGTAAGACCTTGACTAGCTTGTTCAGGTGTGTTTGATTAGGGCTGGAGCTAAAATCTGCAGGTCACTGGCCCTCCAGGAACAAGTTTGGTGACCACTGATTTACACTGAGGAAGGGCAGAGGGTTGCAGAAGAACTACTGAGAGATTTCAGCTGCTGTCTGGGCTTTCATACACCTCCCTTTCTTCATGTGTTCAATAATACTTTCTCTCTCCGTCATTTCATTTCATTACATATAACTTAAGTTTAAAGAAATTAGATTTGTTTTCCTTGCACATAAGAATTTCTTTGGTTGCTTTCAAAAGTCCGCTAAAATTTTCAAGTCAACGGCACCTTTAGAAATATGTTTAAAAATGGTGTTCAATACTTATTTTCCTCACTGTATGTGCATAATATACATTATTGCATAATTAATATTTTTATATGATAATATTATAGCCTACATTAAGCCTTATACCTTAAAAAAGGGACTTTGCTATAAATGATTATAGTATTTTTTAATGCGGGGTGACCCAGTAATGAATGATGACAAGCCTTTAAAGGACATTCATTGCACAATGGGGGGGGTTTTTTTCGTAGGAAAACTTGAGCTGTGTATCAATTTTCATCCCCTTAACATCTCTCACTGTCTTCAACTTAGTTCAAAGAGTTAGTTGACGCCAAACTTAAAAATCAAAGTCATTAAAAGTCATTCACTCACCTTCAGGTTGCTTCATAAATTATATAACTTTCATTCATCTTCAGAACAGAATTCAAGATATTTTGTCATCACTTGAAACACTTGAGGACAAAATATCTTTAGTGTTTAACAGAATAAACGTTAAATGTCTTATTTAGTGTTCAATAAAATAAAGGTTTGGCATTACTAGTGGGTAATTAAATGGTGAGTAAACTTCATTTTTGGGTGATCTGCCCCTTTAATTTGTCGCCTCATCAATTTATTAAATGTTAGACTGATAAAATGACTATGTTACTATTGTGTTTTAACATAGGCTATTAAATTAGACATTAAATTTAAAGCATTTTCCACATGCAACATATCTATACACAAACTAAATACATGTACCCAGACATAAGCACAGTGTTGTACTGTTATTTACACACACTATATTACACATCTATTACATGTGTATGATTCATTCATAAAGCAGCACGTTCACTTTAAAACAAGGACACAATCAGCTAAGAGAGTAATAGTAAAGAAGGCACAATTACGCCTTATGAAAAATCATAATAAATCATTATAATTTCATTCATCTTCAGAACATAAATAAATATATTTTTCATCAAATGTGAAAGATTTCTGCACTTTCACTGAAAGGCTATTATTACAAAACAATTCAGTACAAAATGTCTTATTTAGTGTTCAATAAAATAAAGGTTTGGCATTACTAGTGGGTAATTAAATGGTGAGTAAACTTCATTTTTGGGTGATCTGCCCCTTTAATTTGTCGCCTTATCAATGTATCAAATTTAGACTGATAAAATGACTATGTTACTATTGTGTTTTAACATAGGCTATTAAATTAGACATTAAATTTAAAGCATTTTCCACATGCAACATATCTATACACAAACTAAATACATATACCCAGACATAAGCACAGTGTTGTACTGTTATTTACACACACTATATTACACATCTATTACATGTGTATGATTCATTCATAAAGCAGCACGTTCACTTTAAAACAAGGACACAATCAGCTAAGAGAGTAATAGTAAAGAAGGCACAATTTAGCCTTATGAAAAATCATAATAAATCATTATAATTTCATTCATCTTCAGAACATAAATAAATATATTTTTCATCAAATGTAAAAGATTTCTGCACTTTCACTGAAAGGCTATTATTACAAAACACTTGAGTACAAAATGTCTTATTTAGTGTTCAATAAAATGAAGGTTTGGCATTACTAGTGGGTAATTAAATGGTGAGTAAACTTCATTTTTGGGTGAACTGCCCCTTTAATTTGTCGCCTCATCAATGTATCACATTTAGACTGATAAAATGACTATGTTAATATCGTTTTTTAACATAGGCTACTAAATTAAACATTACATTTAAAACATTTCCATATGCAACACATCTACACACACACACAAACTAAATAAATATATGCAGAGTCGGGGCACACTGTTACACATCTATTACATGCGTATGATTCATTCATAAAGCAGCACGTTCACTTTAAAACAAGAACATACGAGGGTAATAGAGTAAAGAAGGCACAGTTATGTCTTAAGATTATAAATCAAGAGTATAACTTAGTGCTCAGCGGCTGACGTTAAACCACAACAGCACTCAACGTTAACTGAAGGAAAGCTGATGCAACTGACGCCCATTGCGTATGATATAAACGCCGCAGCTCATTTAAACTCACCCGAAAAAAGCCTGGAGATAAACTTCACATACATCAGGAGAAAAGGCGATAGAAAATGCGGGGAATGTCTCTCTCCCTCCGCTAAAAACCTTCCTCTTTCGCTCAGGTGACTGGTTTTCGCATGAGAGCCATTACTGATGCCCGTGTGACGTCATCAGACGCGGCCGTTTTCGCAGATCTACAAAACATCCGTGCGCGGTCGCGCTACGCCGCATATTTTCTTTATATCGTATGCTTTTAACACCGCAAGCAGAGTTTAGTTTTTTGAAACATAGACATTTTGTGGTGTCGAACTGAATTGGTATTGTTCGACAGGATATTTGAAGGCTTTTAAAAATATTTCACACTTAAACTTATAGCTAAAGATAAGCGGTTTCCCGGATGTTGTGAGAAAGCGAGGCCCAGCTCTTCTTCTACACACGTGTAGGTATCTCAGCGGTTTTAGCCACGGAAATCTGTAGGACTGAGCTGATTTTGCAGTCATGTTTGGCTCGTCGAGATCTGGAGGGGTGAGAGGCGGCCAGGACCAGTTCAACTGGGATGATGTTAAAGTGGATAAACACAGAGAGAACTACTTGGGTGAGTATCGAGCTAGCACAACTAGCCGCGACTAGCATCTCAGCACTGTTATTGTGTCTGTTATAAGCGGAATTTCCAAAATATATTAAACTAATATATATTTCTTTGTACTTCACAAACTTGAAGTACATTAATTACACGTTATAACAGCAAGCAGCTTACAGACTTGATCAACCTGTTCAGGAAGCTTGCAGGAGTTATCATTTTAAAAGCAGACTCGTATATTAAGTTAAGCAGCTTGATTGTATTTCTGAGAAGATGCTACTTTTTAAAATAACATCAGCACGTTTTTGTCTCTGTCAAATTGTCTTATAGTTTATCATTTCTTTTCTGAATAAATCCGATCATACATGAGTTCGTTCATACGTTCTTACCTTTGTCCGTGGTGTGAGCTCTCATCACATCGTCTGTTTATTTTGTGTGTCGGACACTGTTGTGTCTTTGGTTAGTGTGTGGACGTGTTGAACTTTGCTAGGTACCTAAAATACCTAGAATCGCATGGGACGAGCACACTAGCTGGTCATTCTATGAATCCTACTATGGAAAAGGCTCGGCGTATTAATATTAATAAGGTCATGTGGACGTTACTTGGTAGGAGTTTTACTTCAGCGCATGCGCAGCTCATTAATATTACTGAGTTCATGCTAGGACTATGAATTATTCATATTCTCTGGTGACGTCAGTTCACCTTACGGGCCAATCGTGACGCAAGCAGTGTAATATTCATAAGATGACTACATTCATAGTAGGATTTATAAGTTGGTGTAGCGTGTACGCATTTGACGTACTACTGTTTTTTTAATTATTGCAAAAGAGCCTATCCGACTGACCTTTCATTTAAAATACAAAACTGCCTGCTCATCTTTTTTTTTTCTCAGTCAAGTCGATTTTTTTGAGTTGTTGAATCGTACCTGGATATCCATTACCTTTAAAAAAAAAAAAAAAAAAAAAAAAAAAAAATATATATATATATATATATATATATATATATATATATATATATATATATATATATATATATATATATATATATATATATATATATATATATATATATATATATATATATATATATATATATATATATATATATATATATATATATATATATATATATATATATATATATATATATATATATATATATATATATATATATATATATATATATATATATATATATATATATATATATATATATATATATATATATATATATATATATATATATATATATATATATATATATATATATATATATATATATTTATATATATATATATATATATATATTTATATATATATATATATATATATATATATATATATATATATATATATATATATTTATATATATATATATATAAAATTATATATATATATATAAATATATATATATATATATATATATATATATATATATAT